GGCTAGACTGGGGGAGCAGTGAACGGGAGGGGGGCAGTGAGCGTGGGGGGCACTGGGGCGACAAGGGGGGAAGGTAAATAAAGAGGGCGGAGCCAGGATGAATGAGGGACCGGACCGACCCGGGGCAGAGTAGCGGGAAGCCCTCAGCGGGAGGTGCGGTCAAGGCCAGAGTGGGCGGAGTCGCGACCGCGGTAGCGCAGGTCGGGTAGGAAAGGGGCGGGCACAGCCTGCGCTGGACCCACAGAGCGTAGGAGCTGGGGATCAGCAGGCGCGGTACAGGTGACGAGGGGGGCACCTGGACTCAGGGCCTGGCCAAGCAGAGCCAGGGCGGGGCTGCGATCCTGGGGTGGGGGGGTCACCTGGGCAACCTGAGCCTCGGGAACACCGCGCAGCCGCGCGAACAGCTCCAGGTGCTCGCGGCCGGTCAGCAGCCCGAAGATCGCGTCCGACTGCGGGCAGTAGCCCATGTGGCAGTGCGCAGCGGACGGTTCCTGGGCCACGCTGCGGGTGGGGGACGGGGCGCTCAGGGAATTGGCCAGGCCCTGGCCATGCTGGGGGGACCTCAGGGCCCACCCACCCTGGGCCACTATGGTAGGAGACGGGGGGTAGGGGGCGTTTCAGGGCCCGGTGGACATGCGGTTTGTGGGGGCACAGGGGCTCAGGGCCAGCCCGACCGGACCGTGCTGGTGAAGCACAGTCCCTGTGCAGGAGAGCAAGGGGTGGGGACGAACAGGGGCTCGGGACACCCCGCCCCCGCCCGAGCCCCCTCACCTGTGGCCGGCCAGCACAGCCTCACCACCGCTGGGCAGCATGTCCCCCGTCACCATGCGAAATGTGGACGTTTTCCCTGCTCCGTTCACTCCCAGCAGCCCGAAACACTGCAGGCGCCCCATAGACAGCACTCAGCAAGGTCTCAGGTCCCTGTCCCGGGGCCGCTAATTCTCGGGGTGGGTTTCCCAGTGTCTGCAGGAGGGCTGTGAGCCAGGAGGACCCCTGGGACCGATACAGGGGGTGTGCAGATAGGCATACACCTGCCACTTAGCGGGGACCGGTTGTTGGCACGTGGGATGTATTTAACCAATTCCAGCACCCAGTGGGTATCTCATAAAGATCACATACAGCAAGCGCTCCACGAACAGCGAGGCATGAGACTTCTCAATGTTTCCCGACACTCCGTGGGTGCCCGAGAGAGGCACCCACGGAGGGCTGAGGCTGGGTGCAGTCCGCCCAAGGTGGAGAGGCTGGCCAGCACACAGGAGGCGCTTGAGAACCAGTGTCTGCAGGTGCGCTGGCCCCGGCAGGTGGCCGAGACGTGACACTCAGCACGTCCGTCTGCACGTAGTCGTCGCCTGAATGCGAACTGGTACAGGGCACGTGGGCCTCATAAATACTGGCTGTGAGCAGGTGCTCGATACAGGTGCGTATACAGCAGGGGCTCAATAAGTGCTGTTGATGCTCGACAAAAAGTCGACCATCGCTCGGGTGACGTTCAGTACTCCCCTGGCAAACGCATACACACACACGGGGGGCTCGACCGTGCAACTGGTTCTCAGGTGTTGACACACAGTAGGCCACCTGACATGCGTGGGCGCCCCCTGGGTGTTCGATAATAATTTGCTTGGTCTCCGTAGGGGCTTACTAACACCTTCCTGCAGACAGTAGGGCTCGATAAATGGAAGTACGCAGTAGGTGCTTCCTGAGAGTTTGCTGGCACAAAACAGGAACTCAAATGTTGGCGGCCAGTAGTTGCCCAATAAAAGGCAGCGGGCACAAGGTAGCTGTTCAATGAAGGGCACCATGCGCACAGGAGGTGTTCAGTAGAGGGCAGTGGGCACACAGTGGGGCAGCTCTCACTGCCCCTGCACGGGGAAGTCTGCCTTGGGCTCTCACCTCACCGGGGGGGATCCCCAGGCACAGGCGGTCGACAGCTGGTGTCCTCTGCCCGTAGTACACCTGGGGGGAGTTCAGGTCCCTGAGAAAGGTGGGTGGGCCAGGGGGAGCCCCCCAAACCCAGCACTCTGCACCCACCTTGGTCAGGTCTCTCAGCACCAACACGTCCCCCTGGGTGGCCCCTTGGACCACCCGTTCCCGCTCCCGGGCCACATCCTCATCCTCCTCCCCCAAGGGGTGCAGCAACCTCAGCTGGGGTCTGAGGACAGAGAGGTCAGTGAGCCCAAAGCCACAGCCGGCCCCTCCCCCCTTACCCGGTCCCCACTGACTGCGGCAGGAGGCGGCTCCAGAGCTGCAGCAGCAGCGTGAAGAGGAAGAAGAGCGGCCCCTGTACCACCATGGCCAAGAGGTTCTTGCCAACCACCTCCCAGCGCAGGGGTGACTGGAACTGCCCATCTCCTGTGGTGACAGGAAGGAGGAATTAGGTCATGGGGGGTGTGGGCCCCTCCCCATCCAGGTCACCTTGGATTCTTATGGAAAAGGACCAAGAACTGGATGGGCCACTCAACTGAGCTCTAATTGGTATAGAAAACAGTGGTATCCCCGTCTCCCTTATTTAGGACCTTAGACCTTTTGTGATATGACCCAAGACAGAATTAGCTTTTACGGCTGCTTTGCTGTACTTATAACTTGACCCAAACTTGGGGCCACCTTAGATCTCTAGTTCTCTTCCTGGGGGCTGCTGTTTGTCCCTACCCTGTGTAACTGACTTGGCTGGCACTTCCCCACCTAGTTCTCACCCAAGCGCTCAAAGGCGTCAGCCATGGCCTGGTTCCGCACCATGTCGATGAGCCCCCGGCCCAGGCAGAAGTGGGGGAAGATAAGGAAGATCTGCTTCAGGATCCGGCTCACTTCCTGCAGCTTCTGCTCGGGGACAGGAAGAGGGAGGTGGATCAGGGGCCGAGGCCGATGCCCCAACCCAGTCCCAGCCTGAGGCACAGACATGCAGGGACCCACCTGATCAGAGAAGAGCTCGAGCACGAAGGTGGCCATGCTGCCATTGATGCCGATAAAGAGGTTGATGCAGGTGAGCACCACGTAGGCCGTGCTGGGCACGGAGAAGAAGAAGGAGGCTGGGTACATGAGCGGCGTGATCGACCAGCTGAGGGGCAACAGGAGTCAAGGGGTGACCACCCAGCAGCAGGCTGAGTAGCCCTAAGAGGAATACAGATCTCCCCTCCCATCGTCCCTGCCATGGACCTCTTAATGTAAGTCAAGACAAGAGGAGCGTTTGTTGTTTTGTTTTGTTCTGTTTTGTTTTTTTTAAAGTAAGCTCTACCCCTAACGTGGGGCTCAAACTCACAACCCCGAGATCAAGAATCGCACACTCTCCCGACTGAGCCGGCCAGGCGCCCCTAGATAAGATGGGCTTTTGGGGCGCCTGGGTGGCTCAGTCGGTTAAGCGACTGCCTTCGGCTCAGGTCATGATCCTGGAGTCCCGGGATCGAGTCCCGCATCGGGCTCCCTGC